TGTGGTGGAGGAAACACATACAATCTAGGATGAAATGGTCCCCAAATGTGTCTGAAATCCTCCCCTTGGGTGATGGGCAGTGTGGTGTTGGTGGAGGACATTGGCAGGGCTCTTGGACATGTTCATGGTACCTGCTATAACCTGCAATGTCATTGGAGGGAGGGCCTTTGATTTCTCCTGAGTAGTGGGAGCTAGAGCTGGAGGTACCCCAGCCTCACATGCACACTTGTTTTCACTTCTGTTATGTGCACAGATGACCCTTTTCTCCTGTCCTTTTCAGATCTGCATGAACCAGAAGTGTGTGGACCGGTCTGTTATAAAACTGACTTGCAATACATACACAGACTGCAACAATAGAGGAGTGAGTAAAAGCCAGTGAACCTGTCCTCTAATAGCATCAAACATGAGGCGTCCCTGGACTTTTGAGTTTTCGAATGCTAGGCAAGCTGAAAGTATAGGAGGATGTATATGTGGAACCAGGAGGTGTTCTCCTCCCTCGGCATTCGATAAGATCTCAAGGCCACCTTTGACAATCTGGGGCAGAGGGTGGAAAGCAAGAACTAACTAAGGTGAGGGAAACTAATTACCTTTCCCCCACTCCTCTTTTGCTCCCCCTGCGATTCAGAAATGCAACAACCGAGGGAACTGCCATTGCGACATGGGCTGGGCCCCTCCGGACTGCGGGACGAGAGAGGAGGGAGGACTCGGAGGAAGCATCGACAGCTCCTACCGAAGCGGTTTGTCTGTCGGCTTAAAGGACTTTGGATGTATTGCAGTTGCTGGTTGTCAACACGGACAGTCAATTTTAAACACAACGTATTAGATGCCATGTCCTGGAAGATTTAGAGTTGACTAGCTTGAGGAACACTTGTTGTTGTTGTTCATTCATTCAGTCGTCTCTGACTCTTCGTGACCTCATGGACCAGCCCACGCGAGAGCTCCCTGTCGGCCGTCACCACCCCCAGCTCCTTCAAGGTCAGTCCAGTCACTTCAAGGATGCCATCCATCCATCTTGCCCTTGGTCGGCCCCTCTTCCTTTTGCCTTCCACTTTCCCCAGCATCATTCCCTTCTCTAGGCTTTGCTGTCTCCTCATGATGTGGCCAAAGGACTTCCACTTTGTCTCTAGTCTCCTTCCCTCCAGTGAGCAGCCGGGCTTTCTTTCCTGGAGGATGGACTGGTTGGATCTTCTCGCAGTCCAAGGCACTCTCAGAACTTTCCTCCAACACCACAGCTCAAAAGCGCCTCTCTTCCTTCGCTCAGCCTTCCCTAAGGTCCAGCTCTCACATCCGTAGGTGACTACAGGGAAGACCATGGCTTTGACTAGGCAATGGATCTTTGTTGCCAGTCTGATGTCTCTACTCTTTACTATTTTATCGAGACTGGACATTGCTCTCCTCCCAAGAAGTAAGTGTCTTCTGATTTCCTGGCCACAGTCTGCATCTGCAGTAATCTTTGCGCCTAGAAATACAAACCCTGTCACGGCCTCCACATTTTCTCCCTCTATTTCCCAGTTGTCAATCTTTCTTGTTGCCATAATCTTGGTTTTTTTGATGTTTAGCTGCAACCCAGCTTTTGCGCTTTCTTCTTTCACCTTGATTAGAAGGCTCCTCAGCTCCTCCTCGCTTTCGGCCATCAGAGTGGTGTCATCTGCATATCTGAGGTTGTGAATGTTTCTTCCAGCCATTTTCACCCCAGCTTTGCATTCATCCAGCCCCGCACATCCTCGCATGATGTGTTCTGCATACAAGTTAAAAAGGTTGGGTGAGAGGATGCAGCCTTGCCGTACGCCTTTCCCAATCTTGAACCAGTCTGTTGTTCCATGGTCAGTTCTTACTGTTGCTCCTTGGTCCTTGTACAGATTCCTCAGGAGAGAGGGAAGGGGGCTTGGGATGCCCATCCCACCAAGAACTTGCCACAATTTATTATGATCCACACAGTCAAAGGCTTTGGAATAGTCAATGAAGCAGAAATAGATGTTTTTCTGAAACTCCCTGCCTTTCTCCATTCTCCAGCATCCGGAGATTGGCAATCTGGTCTCTCGTTCCTCTGCCTTTTCTAAACCCAGCTTGAACATCTGGCAACTCTCACTCCATGTATTGCTGGAGTCTTCCTTGCAGGATCTTGAGCATTATCTTACTGGCATTACCTTACTGGGGAACACTATGTCATAGTAATTACTGGAAAGGCTCAATGTTGAGGAAAGTGTGTGTGTGTATATTAGACTTGGTTGATCCAAAAGAAAATAGTTCAAAACTCGTTTTGGATGTAGGAGGTGTTGGTGGTTCGATTTGGAATTGAATTCCGAATTTTCAGAAAAAAAAAATTCAGAACTTTTAGAACTTTCTGAAATTTCTGATTCACTTCGTTAATGGCAGACGCGGTTGTGCAATATGCAATACACAAGACTTGAAAGTACGGGACTAGTAGTGTCTCCTCAGTGGCAACGCAAAGCAACTGAGGACGTAAAGAGTAGGAAGAGGCCTTTTTGGCTTTTTGAAGTTGATTTCACAACTTTAGGAAGGATAAAGAGTCTGGGAATCCTTTTGGACCCTCTGCTGAGGATGGAGGCCCAGGTCTCTCTCCGCCCTGAGCAGAACCGCCTTCTTTCCCCTGCGGCAGGCTAGACATCTGGCCCCCTCCCTGTCCAGGGACGACCTCGCTACGGTGACCCAGGCCACGGTCATCTCAAGACTGGACTACTGTAACGCCCTCTACATTGGCCTTCCTCTGTTGGTGACCCGGAAGCTCAAGTTGGTCCAAAATGCAGCTGCTCGGCTTCTTGCGGGAATTCCGATGAGATGCCACATCACCCCAATCTTCCTGCAGCTGCATTGGTTACCCATTGAGCACCAGATCACTTTCAAAGGGATGGTACTCACCTTGAAGGCCTTGCATGGTCTGGGGCCGATGTACCCGAGGGACCGCCTCACCCCCTACCAACCCCAGAGATCCCTCCGCTCTGAGGACCAAGATCTATTGGAAATTCCCAGTGTCAAGACCTTGCGCCTAACAGCAACCAGGCACAGAGCCTTCACAGCAGTGGCACCATCACCCTGGAACACTCTGCCACCTGAAGTCCGTGCCTTGCGGGATTTATCAGCTTTCCACAGGGCATGTAAGACATATCTGTTTCAACGGGGCTTTGATCTCTGATTGTTTTTAAATGGTTTTTAATTGTTTTTAAATTGTGTTCGATTTTAGCCTGTTCTTGTAAGCCGCTCTGAGCCCCAGGGGAGTGGCGGCATATAAGTTCAATTAATTAATTAATTAATATTTTGACTATTTGGCAACACAAGGCAAACTGAGGAAACAAACGGCACCCTCAGACTCCAATATTACCTACCCACGCGTCGCCCACCCGTCCTGAACCCCAACAGCAACAACACATAAGTGGCTGCAAGGCAGGCAGCCATGCCGGCAAAAATCTTGCTCCCAGCCCTTCTCTGCTTGCCCTGCCCTGCTCTTCTTCCAACCGCTCTTCTTCCAACCTCCCTTCAACCTCCCTTTCTCTTTCCCTTTCCCTTCTCCCTTCCCAGGCTCAAAATGAGCCTCTGAGCCATGTGCTGCCCTGTATCTATCGCAATGGCTGCCGTGCTGAAACCCTGCCCCCCCACCTCCTGTCACGTTGCCAGGGCTCTGCCTTATTTAGGTAGAGGTGAATCAAACTCCCAGTTTTAACAAACAGTTTAATTAAAACAGCACTTACTTGCTAGCTGTTTTTATAGTCCAAAATATAAAACACAAAGATAGCTAGAGAATAAACAAAAACTGATAGCAAAAATAACCTCGTAGTCAAAAGGGTCCAGTCCTGTGGTCAAACGGCGAGAGTTCAATAAAAAAAAAACCCCAGTCTTTCCTTTTGTTTTTTTTATGAATGCTCCCAAAAGAAAATACATAAGGATGTGGGTGAACTACAATTACTAGAATCATGGGTCAATCCTTCCCAAACCCTGCCATTATTCAAAGATGGCCATGTTGGCTCTATGTGCCAAGTGTGGTCCAGATCCGACATCAGCTGGGTTCAGTGTTCTCTGGATAAGGGTGAACTACAACTCCCAGATTTCCAGGGTAATAACCCACAAATAAGCTGCCCATGTTGGTTCTGAGTGCCAAGTTTGGTCCAGATTCATCATCAGCTGGATTAAGGGTTAATGGAGAGGCAGTGAGCGGGGTAATGCAAATTCCACACCAATGGAGAGAGTAAGGAACACTGGGATGTATGGAAGCTTTGTGTGTAGATGACTTCCCTTTGCTGCTGTCCAGGGTGCTGATGTTGGGGAGACTGAGCTGGAGTGTTGTTCCGCTTCCTGATCTCCGTTCTTTCCCCGTGATAGGTTCCGCTCTTTTAGCCGAACGCCGTAGAGTGACCATCGCCGTCAGGAACTGGCTCCTGATCAGCTTCTTCCTTTTCCTCCCCGTCATTATTGGCTCTGCCATCTTGATCGTCAAGCTGAGAGACATCTTCTCAGGTCTGAAAGTGGAGGAGGAGATCGAAGACGAAGGTGAAGAGACCGAAGGGTACGTTGTTTTCCTCATCCCTTCAAGGCATGGGGATTCTGTGGCCAGCTTGATTAGCATGAAATGGCCTTGCAGCTTCAAAGCCTGGATGCTTCCTGCCTGAGGAATCCTTTGTTGGGAGGTGTTGGCTGGCCCTGAGTGTCTTGTCTGTCTATTCAGTGTATAATAGCACTGAATGTTTGCTGGATGTGTTCGGTGATCCACGGCAGAATATAATACTGTAAATAAATAAATATGTTTGGCTTCATGAAGAGAGGGAGAGAGAGCAAGCGAGGGAGGGAGGCTGGAATGAAGAAGAAAAGGATGCTTCTACCTCTTCACTTTGTGCTTCTGTGCCACATCTTAAAGTTGATCTGTCTTTTTAACTGTTCCATGTGAATGTGCATTTATATAAATTTATTTATAAAGTAAATTCATAAATGCACTACATGTGGGGCAGCAAAATCCCCACCCATTTCTACCCAAATGTTACTTTCAGTGTAATCCACAGAAATACACAACTTGGGTTTCTGTGACTTTTTTTCGGGCTGTATGGCCATGTTCCAGAAGCATTCTCTCCTGACGTTTCACCCACATCTATGGCAGGCATCATCAGAGGTTGTGAGGTATATTGGAAACTAGGCAAGATAGGTTTACATATCTGTTGAAGGTCAAGGATGGGAGAAAGAACTCTTGTCTGTTGTCTTTGCAATTGGCCATCTTGGTTAGCACTGAATGGCTTTGCAGCTTCAAAGCCTGGCTGCTCCCTGCCAGGGGGAATCCTTTGTTGGGAGGTGTTAGCTGGCCCTGATTTATTCTTGTCTGGAATTTCCCTGCTTTTTGAGTGTTGCTCTTTATTTACTGTCCTGATTTTAGAGTTTTTTTAAAAAAATATTGGTATTCAGATTTTGTTCATTTTCATGCTTTCCTCCTTTCAGTTGAAATTGTCCACATTCTTGTGGATTTTAGTGGCTTCTCTGTGTCATCCGACATGGTGGTTGCTAAAGTGGTCCAGTGTATTCTACAATAGTATGCTGTGTCCAGGTTGGTCCATCAGGTGCTCTGCTATGACTGACTTCTCTGGTTGAATCAGTCTGCAGTGCCTTTCATGTTCCTTGATTTGTGTTTGGGCAATGCTGCGTTTGGTGGGTCCTATGTAGACTTGTCCACAAGCATGGGAATTCCAGACAAGAATAACTCAGGGCTAGCTGATGGAGGAAACCATGAAAATTAACAAAACCTGAATACCAATATTTAAATCAGGGCTAGCTAACACCTCTGTAACGATTCGCGAAGATGCCATCAATTTGTAATGAGGCCACTAATTTGTGACGAGTTTGTAAAGGAGGCACCACTTTGTAAGGGTTTATTAATTTGATAGCGTAGCTAATAGCTTGGTCTTTCTTTAATGCGTAGCGTGACTTAGCTTGGAAAGGAATTGTAACAGAGACCGGCTTTAGAAAAAAACAGTAACAAGTTTATTGAAATGTAGAAGGAGCATGATGGTTTCAATGTTTCTTAACTCTTAGAGGCACATATCTTCAAAGGTTACATTTGTAACGTTTCCTAAACAGCTCTGGAAAGAACTCTTCCTTCCACTAAACAGGTTTCAAAGATATTTTTCTTCAAACTGTGTTTCTTTCCTTAATAGATTTCTTCAGTTACTAGCTTATTCTTTCTTTGTGATGTTTCTGTTGCAATAGAGATTCCCACTGGATTTCTTTCATACACTACTTATTAATATAAATAAGCCAACTTGACTTATCTAAACTACTCAGGCTAAAAGCCAAAACCTTACTGATTCTCACTACTATAGAATCAGCATTTCCCTGTAGTTCTTAAAACTACAGATTACCTTCCTGGTTCTCACTACTAGAGATCCAGCCACTCCTGCAGCTCACAGACTGCAGACTAACTTACTAGTTCTCAGCACACACTAGAACCAACCTCTCCTGTAGTTCACTGACTGCAGACTAACCGTTTTAAAATGGCTGCCAAGTGGCAATTGGCTCCACCCCTGTTTCCATGGTAACCCAACCCAACATGAGTTGAGCTGGCTACCATCCCCCCTAGTTATGCAACTTTAAATACTTACCCTTTAAAACATCTATTTATAATTATACATAACTGCAAGTTAAAAATTTACACTTCACCACAACCTCCCAACAAAGGACTCCCCCAGGCAGGAAGCAGCCAGGCTTTGAAGTTGCAAGGCCATTCCATGCTAATAAAGCTAGCCAATTGCAACATTCACACTTGCCTCAAAGAGAGAAGAGTTCTTTCTCCCACCCTGGACATTATTGCACAGATATATAAACCTCGCTTGCCTAGTTTTTCGTGGTTTCCTCCTTATAATTGAAACCCAGGCTTTGAAGCTGCAAGGCCATTCAGTGCTAATCAAGCTGGCCAATTGCAACATCCACATTTGCCTCAAGCAGGCAAGAGTTCTTTCTCCCACCCTGGACATGATTTCGGCGATACATAAACCTCACTTGCCTAGTTTCCAAGAGACCTCACAACCTTTGCAGATGCCTGGCATAAATGTGGGCGAAACATCAGGAGAGAATGCTTCTGGAACATGGCCAGACAGCCTGGAAAACTCACAGCAACCCAAATGCCAAAACCTTTCTGCAAGTGACCTGCTTTGGTTAGTTTGGAGATCGAACATAACACAGTTTTGGAAATTCTTCCTCTGCTTAGAAGTTTTGTACAAAATATCATTTTTGATGCATTTCTCTCCCTTTTTTAGTTCTAGATCGCAAGACGCAGACCAGTCGGAAAATGCAAGGTAGTTTTCTTTTGTCTGTTTTCAGTCGTAACGCTACAGTTTTTTAAAAGTGTGCAAATCTTTGCTGATTCTGCCTTACGTTCTGCCTTGCAGTGTATAGAAACGGATGGGCGGACATTGTCGACTTGGTGGCTGGACTGTCGAAAGCCTTTCCTCCTCTCCTGACAGCGCAAACCCACAACAGTTTAATGTGACTGCCCCTCTGTGATGTAGTATAATTATTCAAGCCCATTTGGCTTGCGGTTACTCAGATTTTAACAATAAAATAGACTTCATTCTTAAAAGTAAATGTGTGCATTCTGTTTCTGGTGGGTGGACCAGAGTTGCCAAGGGAATGGAAATTGTAAAGGAATTGATCAAGGGTCTGGAGAACAAGCCCTATGAGGAGCGGCTGAAAGAGCTGGGTATGTTTAGCCTGCAGAAGAGAAGGCTGAGAGGAGATATGATGAGGCCATGTATAAATATGTGAGAGGAAGCCACAGGGAGGAGGAGGGAGCAAGTTTGTTTTCTGCTTCCCTGGAGACTAGGACGCAATGGAACAATGGCTTCAAACTACAAGAGAGGAGATTCCATCTGAACATGAGGAAGAACTTCCTGACTGTGAGAGCTGTTCAGCAGTGGAACTCTCTGCCCCGAGAGTGTGGTGGAGGCTCCTTCTTTGGAAGATTTTAAGCAGAGCTGGATGGCCATCTGTCAGGGGTGATTTGAATGCAATATTCCTGCTTCTTGGCAGAATGGGGTTGGACTGGATGGCCCAGGCGGTCTCTTCCAACTCTTTGATTCTAACTTTCTGACTGTGAGAACTGTTCAGCAGTGGAACTCTCTGCCCCAGAGTGTGGTGGAGGCTCCTTCTTTGGAGGCTTTGAAACAGAGACTGGATGGTCATCTGTTGGGGGTGCTTTGAATGTGATCGTCCTGCTTCTTGGCAGAATGGGGTTGGACTGGATGGCCCACCAGGTCTCTTCCAACTCTAGGATTCTAACTTTCTGACTGTGAGAGCTGTTTAGCAGCGGAACTCTCTGCCCTTGAGTGTGGTGGAGGCTCCTTCTTTGGAGGATTTTAAGCAGAGACTGGATGGCCATCTGTCGGGGGTGCTTTGAATGCAATATTCCTGCTTCTTGGCAGAATGGGGTTGGACTGGATGGTCCATGAGGTCTCTTTCAACTCTAGGATTCTAACTTTCTGACTGTGAGAGCTGTTCAGCAGTGGAACTCTCTGCCCCAGAGTGTGGTGGAGGCTTCTTCTTTGGAGGCTTTTAAGCAGAGGCTGGATGGCCATCTGTCAGGGGTGCTTTGACCGTGATCATCCTGCTTCTTGGCAGAATGGGGTTGAACTGGATGGCCCATGAGGTCTCTTCCAACTCTAGGATTCTATGATTCTATGAATGACAGGATTGAGGCTGATTTGAAGAAAGCTATCATATCAATACAGCTGTAGCAAGGGAGGGGAAAGTGACCCCTTCCTTGGCCACAGCACTTTTCCTTTGACATGCAATGGAAATTATTTTCACTCCTTCCCTCCACCATATTTTCTCACAGGCAAAGGAATTGTAGAATCGTAGCATCATCACACTGGCAACGAAGATCCACATAGTCAAAGCAGTGGCATTCCCCGTAGTAACCTATGGATGTGAGAGCTGGACCTTAGGGAAGGCTGAGCAAAGGAAGAGAGACACTTTTGAGCTGTGGTGTTGGAGGAAAATCCTGAGAGTGCCTTGGACCATGAGAAGATCCAACCAGTCCATTCTCCAGGAAATAAAGCCCGGCTGCTCATTGGAGGGAAGGAGATGAGACGCAAAGAGGAAGTCCTTTGGCCACATCATGAAAAGACAGGAAAGCCTGGAGAAGACAATGATGCTGGGGAAAGTGGAAGGAAAAAGGAAGAGTGGCCAACCAAGGGCAAGGTGGGTGGATGGGATCCTTGAAGTGACTGGATTGACCTTGAAGGAGCTGGGGGTGGTGATGGCCGACAGGGAGCTCTGGCGTGGGCTGGTCCATGAAATCATGAAGAGTCAGAAACGACTGAACGAATGAATAACAACAGATAATAATTATAATTATAATATTAATTAATTGATTAATTATTAACTGTGGTGTTGGAGGAAAGTGCTGAGAGTGCCTTGGACTGCGAGAAGATCCAACCAGTCCATCCTCCAGGAAATAAAGCCCGGCTGCTCATTGGAGGGAAGGAGAGGAGAAGCCAAGATGAAGTCCTTTGGCCACATCATGAGGAGACAGGGGAAAGCTTGGAGAAGAGAATGATGCTGGGGAAAAGGGAAGGAAAAAGGAAGAGGGGCCGACCAAGGGCAAGGTGGGTGGATGGCATCCTTGAAGTGATTGACTTGACCTTGAAGGAGATGTGGGTGTCCATGGCCGACAGGGAGCAGCTCTGGCCTGGGATGGTCCAGGAGGTAACCAAGAGTTGGAAGCGACTGAACGAATAAACAACAACAAAGGTTCATAGAGTTGGAAGAGACACCTTTTGCCAGGCAGGAGGGCACAACCAAAGTCCTCCTGAAAGATGGCCACCCAGCCTCTACTTTAGGAGCCCCTAGTGGTGCAGTGGGTTAAACCCTTGAGCTGGCAGGACTGAAGACCGACAGGTTGCACGTTCGAATCTGGGGAGAGGCAGATGAGCTCCCTCTATCAGCTCCAGCTCCTCATGCGGGGACATGAGAGAAGACTCCCACAAGGATGATAAAAGCATCAAATCATCCAGGCGTCCCCTGGGCAACATCCTTGCAGACGGCCAATTCTCTCACACCAGAAGGGACTTGCAGTTTATTTATTTATTTCTATTTATTTACAGCTTTTATATTCCACCCATCTCACCTCGCAGGGGACTCAGGGCAGATTACAGTGTACACATATATGGCAAACATTCAATGCCATTTTTGGCATACAAACATATACAGACATACACAGAGGATATTTAACTTTTTCTGGCCGCCAGGGGAGCTGTCGCTTTCATCATTCATCTGCGACGCTGATGAAGCACTTCCGCATTCCCGCATGCTTCCCCGCTGGAATGCTTTGCTGGAGTCTTCTTTATGGCCTCATAAATCAGTTAATTTAGCCTTCCCACACTTTAAGGTGGAACCTAATTTTCCTACTTGACAGATGCAACTGTCTTTCGGGTTGCAAAGGTCGACAACAGGCTACACACAATTGGTTGGAAACCCAATCCAACCCGGGCTGGCTTCGAACTCATGACCTTTCATAGAATCATAGAATCATAGAATCAAAGAGTTGGAAGAGACCTCATGGGCCATCGTCCAACCCCCTGCAAGAAGCAGGAATATTGCATTCAAATCACCCCTGACAGATGGCCATCCAGCCTCTGTTAAAAGCTTCCAAAGAAGGAGCCTCCACCACACTCCGGGGCAGAGAGTTCCACTGCTGAACGGCTCTCACAGTCAGGAAGTTCTTCCTCATGTTCAGATGGAATCTCCTCTCTTGTAGTTTGAAGCCATTGTTCCATTGTGTCCTAGTCTCCAAGGAAGCAGAAAACAAGCTTGCTCCTCCTCCCTGTGGCTTCCTCTCACATATTTATACATGGCTATCATATCTCCTCTCAGCCTTCTCTTCTTCAGGCTAAACATGCCCAGCTCCTTTAGCCGCTCCTCATAGGGCTTGTTCTCCAGAGTGATCTTAATGCAGCTGACAGTTTTTCAAGTCGCTCCTGACACGACAAAATAATAATAATAATAAAGCCTCTACTTAACATCTACATGAAGCATCTGGGAGAGATCATCTGAAGTTTTGGAGTTTTGTGACATCTCTTATGATTGCATGACCTATACCTATGTAATGTGAAAAGCCACTCGGGCCTCACATTTTTCAGATAAGAAGCCCAGCAGCTTTGGTCTTATCACCAGCCTTTGTTGCTGTTTACTCACCTCCGGTGGTCATTGGCCAGCCAGGATTGTGCACCAAGGCCAAAGGTCTGGAATCGTCCATCGAAGCAGGAAGATTTCTGCACCATCAGCCCGTGCCGTAGCTGCTTGTTTGTCCCTGTGTCCCGCTCGGCACATAGTCCGACCTGTTGAATGCAATAGGGGACATTGTTTTTTTGTAGAGTTCCAGAGCTCTGGTTGAAGATTTGGCCCAAACGATGGACATAAGCAACGGCCATGCCCCAAAACAACTGCCCTTCACGTTGAAGCGGTTTCACATTTCCGAAGAATACGGTTTCCTTCTCCCAAATGCTTTGGTAAGAAAAGTGGCTTCATACATGTGTGTTGTGTGTTTCTATGTATCGGTGGTGAATGTGGATCAGTCACAGGGAAAGAAAACATGATCAAAGATGATCAAAAAAGGGATTTGCATGTCATTTGTCAAATGTAACCATTATTGTTGCGTAATTGCAGCTAAAGGGATTCAACAGGCTTCGGTAAATTTAAAAGAAAATATAACCAAGAGGGATTTTAAGCACATTTCAGTATCTTCAGAAGGCGTCTTTCTTTTTTTCCTCCTTTCTTCCTTCCTTCACTCCCCCTTTCTTCCTCCCTTCATTCCCTTCCACCTTTTCATTCTTCCTTCCTTCTCTCTTCCCCTCCTTCCCCCCTTCCTTCCTTCCCTTTTGTCTTTCCTTACTTCTCTTTTTCCTTCCCCCTTCCCTTTCTTCCTTCCTTCCATCCATCCCTCCCCCCTTTCATCCTTCTTCCCTTCCCTTTTGCCTTTCCTCCTCTCTTTCCTTCCTCTCTTCCTTCCCTCCCACCCTCTTCCCCCCTCTCCCCCTCTCCTTCCATCTTTTCGTCCTTCCTTCTCTTTCCTTCCCCCTTCCCTTCCTTCCTTCCTTCCTTCCTTCCTTCCTTCCCCCTTCCCCCTTCCTTGCTTCCTTCCTTCCTTCCTTCCTTCCTTCCTTCCTCTTCCTTCCTTCCTTCCTTCCTTCTTCTCCCCCCTTCCCCCTTTCATCCTTCTTTCCTTCCCTTTTTCCTTCCTTCTCTCTTCCTCCCTCTCTTCCTTCCTTCCCACCCTCTTTCCCCCCCTTCCACTTTTTCCTTCCTTCCTTCGCTTTTTCCTTCCCCCTTCCCTTCCTTCTTTCTTTTCCCCTTCCTTCCTTCCTTCCTTCCCTTTTGCCTTTCCTTCCTCCTTCCCCTCCTTCCTTCCTTTCCCTTCCCTTTTCTTCCCTTTTGTCCTTCCTTCCTTTTTCCTTTTCCCCTTCTTCCTTCCTTCCTTCCTTCTTTCTTCCTTCCTTTCCTTTCCTTTCCTTCCTTCCTTTCCTCTTCCTTCCTTCCTTCCTTCCTTCCTTCCTTCCCTTTATCTTCTTCCTTCTCTTTTCCTTCCTCCTTCCCTTCCTTCCTTCCTTTCTCCCTTTCATCCTTTTTTCCTTCCCTTTTGCCTTTCTTTCCTTCTCTATTTCCTCCCTCTCTTCCTTCTTTCCCACCCCCTTCCCACGCCCTTCCACCTTTTCGTCCTTCCTTCTCTATTTCATTCTCCCTCCCTCCCTCCTTTTCTCTTTTCCTTCTTCCTTCTCTTTTTCTTCCTCTTTTCCTTCCTTTCTCCCTTTCATCCTTCTTTCCTTCCCTTTTGCCTTTCCTTCCTTCTCTTTTACCTCCCTCCCTCCCTTCCCTCTCTCCATACCCTTCACCTTTTTGTGGAAAGAAGGAAGGAAGGAAGGAAGGAAGGAAGGAAGGAAGGAAGGAAGGAAGGATGAAAGGGTGGAAGGGAATGGAGGAAGAGAGAGGGATTGAAGGAAGGGAGGGAGGAAAGAAAGAAGGATGGAAAGATAAAAGGGAAGGAAGGAAGGGAAGAAGGAAGAAAAAAGAAGGAAGGACGAAAGGGTGTAATGGAGGGAGGGGGGATTGTTCTCCACCAATTTAACATGGTTTGTGCCACACAAACAAAGTTCCTAGAGTAGAACAACTACTTTCAAAGTAAAGACCACCCAATGAAACAGGAAATGACACTTTCAAACCTGGAACAGATTTCCTTTATAATTATTTTTTTTATAAATCTTTGAAAATTTGCTAAAAATCCATGGTGATGTCAAAGATTATGAAATTTGGTAAGCTAACAGTGGTCCATGTGTTCTACCACTGTAGCAAGTTTCATCAGGATTGGTCTAAAAATGAGGGAGGGAGAATCCCCTGAACTTTCCCTAGTGTTGTTTTTTTCCTTCTGCGCATGCACATCTGCCATTAACGAAGCAATTCGGAAGTTTTGGAAGTTTAGGAAAGTTTTCAATTTTTTCAAAAAAAAATCGGAAGTGACTTTAGAATCGAACCACGAGCACGCCCTAGATCCTAAACGGGTTCTGAACCATTTTTTTGGGTCAACCAAGCCTAGTAAGTACTGAACAACGTAACAGCAAATAATGCTTTCAAACCAGAAATAGAAAATGTTTCATATATTATTATTATTATTATTATTATTATTATTATTATTATTACTAGCTGTACCCGCCATGCTTTGCTGTGGCCAACCTTCCCTCTTTCTCTCCTTCTTTCCCTACTTCCTTCCTCCCTCTTTCCTTCCTTCCTCCTTTTCCTTTTCTTTCCTTCTCTTCCTTCTCTTCCTTTTCTTCTTTCCCTCTTTTCTTCCTTCTCTCGTTCCTTCTTTCCTTCCCTTCCCTCCCTCTTTCTCTATATCTTCCCCCTTTCCTCTCTCTCTCCTTCCTTCTTTCCCTTCTTTCCTTCTCCCCTCTTCCTTCCTTTTTCTCTTCTGCTGTCTCTCTTCTTTTCTTCTTTCTCTCTTTCCTTCCCTCCCTCTTTCTCTACATCTTCCCCCTTCCTTCTCTCCCTCTTTCCTTCCTTCTCCCTTTTTTCTTTCCTTCTCTCCTTCCTTCCTTCTCTATTATTATTATTAAACTTTATTTGTACCCCGCTAGCATCTCCCAGAGGATTCGATGCGGCTTACACAGGCCGAGGCCTCAACAACACAACATAACAATACAATCAAGCAAATCAACAGTTAAAACAAATTAAAGCAAAGGAAACAACAAGCACAATACATTAAAACACAATAAAACTGGGCCGGGCCAAAAGATGGGTACAAGGATTAAAAGTGCTGATTTGACAGGAGGTGTATAGAGGGTTACTAGGGCAAGTGCGATGTGCGGTGTGCAGCAATCATTGGTTCTGGTAAGTGCTTGTGGGACTCGGTAGTGGAGATTTCCTAATCTGGGAAGGTGCATCGGAAACGCCAGGTTTTTAAGTTCTTTCTGAAGATAGCCAAAGAAGGGGCCTGTCTAAGGTCTTTGGGGAGGGTGTTCCAGAGTTGGGGGGCCACTACGGAAAAGGCCCTGTCCCGCGTCCCCACCAAGCGCGCTTGCGACGCCGGTGGGATCACGAGCAGGGCCTCTCCAGATGACCGAAGAGACCGCGTGGGTTCGTAGATGGAAATGCGGTCACGCAGGTAGGCTGGTCCCAAACCGTTCAGGGCTTTGTAGGTCAGCACCTGCACCTTGAATTGGGCTCGGAATATAAACGGCAGCCAGTGGAGCTCCTTAAACAGGAGGGTTGACCTCTCTCTGTAAGGGGCCCCCATTAGCATCCTGGCTGCTGATCGTTGGACCAGTTGGAGCTTCCGAGCCATCTTCAAGGGCAGCCCCACATAGAGCGCATTGCAGTAGTCTAATCTGGAGGTGACCAAGGCATGGACCACTCCGGCCAGATCCGCCTTCTCTAACTTTCCTTCCTTCCCCCTTTTTCTTTCCCTCCCTCTTTCTCTCCTTTCTTCCTTCTCTACCTCTTCCCTTCTTTCCTTCTCTCTTTCCTTCTTTTCTTTCTCCCTTTCCTTCTTTCTTTTCTTTCTTTCCTCCCCTTCCCTCCCTCTTTCTTCCCTTTTTACTATATTGTCATTTAGCTTTTTGTCATTTAGTTTTTGGGGGCTTTTAAAGTCCCTTCTGCTGTGTTTTTCAGTGTTTTTATGAGTGAAGGACATACATTGGGTTGCTAGGTGTCTTTATGTCCAGATTTGGTGTCAATTCCCCCCGTGGTTTCTGAGTTCTGTTAATCCCACAAACGAACATTACATTTTTATATATATAGATTATTATTCTTATTGCTCCAGCCCTTCTTGACATTCCATCTCCTCGAAGTAGGATCTTGATCTTGACATGTTTCCTCTTCATTCCTTCCTCTCTCTCTTCGTGTTTTAAAGTCTGACGGAACCTCAGGAGCCATTCTTTCGTCATGCGGCTTCTCGGCTGTTTTAGGGATTAATGAAGTTTGATCCACGGCGGGCCTTTGCGGGTCGCACGAAGAGAGAAAAACTGCCATTCTAATTATCTACTGACAACTGATGTGAAACAAATCGCTTGTTATATAACTGCCTCGACTGAGACAATCCAAAGCCAGGGAAAGGATCCAGAAGGGAGACAGTTTGACTCTTGGATGCTCTGGATTTGTCCCTCCCATCCCCACCCAGCATTACATATTGTTTTGCTATCTGGAGCTATCATTTGGAGATGACTCTGTCGTTGCCTTTTGTCAGGGTTGGAATTCCTGACACCATGGGTGCATCGACACTGTACAAATAACTGCACATTAACTGCCATTGTTCAATGCTGTGGAAAGATGGGAGTTGTAGTTTGGGGAGGAACCAGCCCTCTTTGGCAGGGAAGGTTAAAGATTTCGTACAGCCATAACTCCCAAGATCCCATAGGTAAAGGTAAAGGCTTCCCCTTGACATGAAGTCCAGTCGTGTCTGACCCTGGTGCTCATCTCCATTTCAAAGCCGAAGAGCCGGCGTTGTCTGTAGACACCTCCAAGGTCATGTTGTCAGCATGTCTGCAAGGAGCGCCGTTACCTTCTCACTGGAGCGGTACCTATTGATCTACTAACATTTGCATGTTTTCCAACTGCTAGGTTGGCAGAAGCTGGAGCTAACAGCAAGAGCTCACCCCTGCTTCCCGGATTTGAACCGCCAACCTTTCGGTCAGCAAGTTCATCAGCTCAGCAGTTTAACCCGCTATGGCCCCCTCAAGATCCCATAAGCACTTGGAAACGTGGGAGTTGCAGTTTGGTCAGGCACTGTGAAACTACAACTCCCAGGATTCCCTAGTATTGAGCCATGGCAGTTAAAGCAATAATAATAATACACTTTATTTATATTCCGCTCCATCTCCCCGAGGGGACTCAAAACGGATTACAATAAATACAGATAGGCAAAGATTCTTGATACAGTGAGATTTTTTTTTGGTTGTGTCAGGTATGACTTGAGAATCTGCAAGTCGCTTCTGGTGTGAGAGAATTGGCCGTCTGCAAGGACGTTGCCCAGGGGACATTGCCCGGATGATTTGATGTTTTTATCATCCTTGTGGGAGGCTTCTCTCATGTCCCCGGATGAGGAGCTGGAGCTGATAGAGGGAGCTCATCTGCCTCTCCCCGGATTCGAACCTGCGACCTGTCGGTCTTCAGTCCTGCTGGCACAGGGCGGGACTGAAGACTGACAGGTCGCAGGAGATAATAAATGACAAATACATAGAACAAAGATAAAGGCTTCCCCTTTCAGCTCCAGCTTTCTGGGGGCAGTGCTCAACTCTGGCCATGGGGAGGTGCTCTTGATCCATTTCCAAGCCAAAGAGCCTGTTGTCCATAGACATCTCCTGGTTGAGTTGCCAGCATGGCATAGGCGCCTTTGTATTACCTTCCTGTTGAAGTGGTACTCATATTTGCACTTTTTTTCAACTGCTAGGTCGACAGGAGCTAGGGCTAACAGCGGGAGCTCACCCCAACTCATGGCTTTGAACTGCCAACCTTTAGGTCAGCAGATTGAACAGTTCAATTGTTGCATTCGTTGTGCCACTGCGGACCCACCACATTAATTTTACAGTTGAACATCAAGAATGTCCATGTTGACTGCAGGATTCTGGGAGATGGTGTCCAACCAAACAACTTTCCCAAGCCCTGGTTGTGAATTCCAGATGCTGATATCCTTAACCCCAGTTTAGTATTGCTCTGATCCAAATTGACGCCTCAATGTCTTCTTCCTAGCAAGAACTTCCTCCTTTCTATGGCCCATGGTGGGAGATCGCTCGCCAGCTGCCAGACCTGATTGAGGACCACAAGCTCCGCTCACGTGTGGACAAGGTATTGAAGTTCCATCTTGACTGGGCTTATATCTCGACATTCAGCCTCTGCCCTCTCCCCATTGCCTCCCAAGCAAACCAATCCTAAAGAGGCTCTTTCGTGTGGATATGCCAAACTGGGACCACCTTGATTGGCTTGTGCCAGAGTCTTTGTAGTTCTATCTTTCGTGTGGATATGCCAAACTGTAGATCATATTAAACCCCATTATAGCTGGTCTTGCAATTATTATTATTATTATTATTATTATTATTATTATTATTATTATTGATCTATATAAATAAAAATGTAATGTTCGTTTGTGGGATTAACATAACGCAAAAACCAGTGGGCAAATTGACACCAAATTTGGACAGAATATACCTAACAACCCAATGTATGTCCTTCACTCAAATTTTTTTGATTTTGTCATTTGGGAGTTGTAGTTCTTGGGATTTATAGTTCACCTACAATCAAAGAGCATTCTGAACACCACCAATGATGCAATTAAACCAAAGGTGACACACAGGACTCCTGACCAACAGAAAACACTAGAAGGGTTTAGTGGACATTGACCTTGAGTTTGGGAGTTGTAGTTCACCTACAGAGACCACTGTGGACTCAAACAATGATGGATCTGGACCAAACTTGGCACGAATATTCAATATGCCCAAATATGAACACATATGGAGTTTGGGGAAAATAGACCTTGACATTTGGGAGTTGTAGTTACTGGGATTTATAGTTCACCTACAATCAAAGAGCATTCTGCACACCACCAATGATGCAATTAAACCAAAGGTGACACACAGGACTCCTGACCAACAGAAAACACTAGAAGGTTTTGGTGGGCATTGACTTTGAGTTTGGGAGTTGTAGTTCACCTACAGAGACCACTGTGGACTCAAACAATGATGGATCTGACCAAACTTGGCACGAATATTCCATAAGCCCAAATATGAACACACATGGAGTTTGGGGTAAATAGACCTTGACATTTGGGAGTTGAAGTTACTGGGATTTATAGTTCACCTACAATCAAAGAGCATTCTGAACCCCACAAACGACAGAATCGGGTCAAATTTCCCACACAGAACCCCCATGCCCAACAGAAAATACTTAAGGCCATCCAGTCCAACTCCCTTCACCAGGGCAAGAAAACGTAATCAAAGCCCTCCTGACAAAGAGCCATCCAGCCATAGATACAGATATGATTCACACACAGAGAGAGATATAGTATCATAGATTTGAAAGGGACCCCTAAAGAAGGGCAATTATATGTTGCATGTTCCAGAGTAGGCAAACCAGACACTCTCCACATCTACACTGACATAGAAACAACAAGAAATACAGTTTACCCACAAGCAGAAACACATTACATAGATTAGAAACCATTACTTTATTTTCCAGATCACTAGACTAGGCCACAGCAACGTGTGGCAGGGGACAGCTAGTAATAATAATAATAATAATAATAATAATAATAATAATAATATACTTTATTTATATTCCACTTTATCTTCCCAGACCCAGAGGGACTCAGAGCGGATTACAGTATATATATATATATATATATATATATATATATATATATTTATATATATGGCAAACATTCACTGCCTTTTACACAGTGAACAATGACATACAACACACAAACAAAGGTCAAGGCCTTCCCCTTCCATCTCTGGCGTCTGGAGGTGATGCTCAACTTTGACCATGGGGAGGTGCTCTTGTTTCATTTTTATCAGTGCAATTTGCTGGCCAACTTGCTTCTTTATCATCCAATTTACTGACTTGAGATACAGTTGTTTCTGCTTCAGCAGCGGCTCTAATCTTTATTTACATTTCATTCATTGCAATAACACTTACTTGTTAGCACAGTCAGATGCAAGGGAGAAGACCAAAGAGAAAGAGCAAAATGGTGTCTGCTCTATTTATACCCCTCTGTTATCAGCTCATTAATTCAGTGTCCAGCCTCCATTTTTCCATGCCAAGGAGTCTGTTGTCCATAGACATCTCCAATCATATTGCCATGGGGCGCCCTTTTACCTTCCCACCGCAGTGGTACCTATTGATCTATTCACATTGCATGCTGATAAACTGATAAGTTGGCAGAAGCTAGGGCTGACAGTGGGAGCTCGCTCCGACTCGCAGCTTTGAACTGCCAACCCTCTGGTCAGCAGATTTCCTGCAGCTAGCAGTTTAACCCGATGCGGTACTGAGGCCCTGTCCTTGAATTTCTGTATAGGTAGGATGATAGTATAAAAATAAAGTGAATAGTGGAATAAACGGTGGTGGCACAAAAGATAGGATGTAGCTTGTACAGGAGGTCCAACGGGGAAAAGTGTAAACAGTAGGCTTGGGCGATCAAGAAAAAAATTGGTTCTAAACTCGTTTCGTTTCTAGGGTGCGCTAGCGTTTCGAAATTCTGAGGACTTCCAAAATTTAAGATTTCAATTTCAAAATTTCCGAAATTTCGTAAATTACGAATCGATTCGTTAATGGCGGACGCGATTGCGCAATATGCTAAAAAAAAAAACTCCAAATGGGACAGGGGGAACTTCTGAAGCTTCTGTTGGGGTTCAGCCTGAGTTTGAACTTGAACCTGATTCTCTGTTTGTTCCTCCTGATGCTAATGAAAGTATATTTACTGATGCTAGTGGAAATGTACCTTTTGATGCCAATGCTCCTGAAATTAGTGAGGAAGAAACTGCTGTAGGTTTGGAAAATGCCAATGTTCCTGAAATTAGTGAGGAAGGAACTTCTGTAGATTTGGAAAATGAAAGTACCAGTGTTCATGAGAATGTTTCAGAGGGAGACCTTGAACTTTCCCTCCCTTCTGCACCTGTTAACTGTAATGACAACAGAAGGGGCCAAATTTGGGAAGACAGAAGTAAATCACTCAGTTTGCGTCGATCCTCCCGAATTCAAGAATTAAAAACATTGGCTTCAAAACAGAAGGGCGGTTCACGGAACCAATTCTTGAGTTTTAATTGCAATACGCCGAGCTGATTGTCTCAGTTCAGGCATCGTTTCAGAATTGATGAAGACCTTGGCAGTTCTCCCGGTTCCCTGGCCATAGTTTGGGAAGATTTCTAGGATATCAAGTACGGTTAGTGGATTGCTAACAGATTCCAGTATTTTCCAGTGAGGCTTTTGGTTTTGCTTTGTCCATTTAAATTCATGTTGGCTGATTTTGCTGTGGCTTTTGACTTGCATTTTTCCTTTATTTTGTAACCATTTTTCTTCAATAAAAAAGGATTGTTTTTCACAGCCAAGTGTGGTGGATAGTTATCTTAGGGCCTCGTTCCCTGCTCTGGATTGCATCAGTTTCCCTCTCCCTCTGTTGTTGACTGTTGGTGTGATAAAACAAACAACAACTATATTATATTATATTATATTATTATTATATTATATTGTTGTATATTATATTATTATTATATATTATATTATATATATTATATTATTATATTATATTATATTATTGTATATTATATTATTATATATTATATTATATATTATTATATTATATTATTATATTATTGTATATTATATTATTATTATATATTATATTGTAATATATTATATATATAATATTATATTATAATATACAATTATAATATAATATAATAATATAGTAATATAATATATAATATAGTTATATAATATAATATACAATATAATGCACCAGACAAACGGAAATAATCACGAAATAATTACGAAATAATTACAAAATATTTACAAAATAATTACGAAAATTGGAAAAAATTGTTTCGATTCTTAATTATTCCTCACACTATTCCTGCATGGCTCGATATTGGATCGTAAGCTAATTTAAATACGAATCAATAACGAATAACGAAATTAACGAACTGGATCGCCCAAGCCTAGTAAACAGGGATAAGTGAAACCACATATATGGGGATATGGGGTCGTACTGTAGATTCTTGCCCGTGTACTTTGGGAATATGCAGAGAGAGTTTCTGTGGGTCACTAGAGCCACAGCCGAGAATCTCGTAAACGCTCCCATTATTGCAAACTGCGTTGTAATGCAGCGAGAAATCCTGCAGGGGTCACTAGTGTCACAGTAGTGAATATCCTATATATAAGATCAATTGTAATGCAGAGAGAAATCAGGAGAGAATGCTTCTAGAACATGGCCATATAGCCCATAAAACCTACAATAACCCAGTGATTCCAGCCATGAAAGCTTTTGACAACAACAACAACAACAATAATACCTTCCCAGTAAGCTTGGGCAAATGCAAACTTGGGCCAAAACCTCTCTGTTCATTTCCGTTTAAGAATGTTGGAGTCACTGCAATGGCAGGCTTTCTTCTCTCTCTTGCCTTTTGGCTTCCAGATGCCTTTGCTCAGCAGCCAGTACCTCCAAGGTTATCGGGAACTCGCTCTGGCCCATTTGGTCCTTAGCTTCATCACAATGGGCTACGTTTGGCAAGAAGGCGAAAAAGGGGTTGCCAAGGTAAGGACTGTTAGAACTCAAAAACCACTGGGTGAATTGACACCAAATTTGGACACAATACACCAATCAGGCCAACAAGTGACCATCACTCATAAAAATACTGGAAAACACAGCGGAAGAGACTTAAAAAGCCAAAAAACAAAAATACATTGCAATGGATGTACAAAACTTTACAAGATGGCTTTAGACCCTTGCCCATTTTGGCTAATTAAATCGGCCAGGGATGGGTTGATTGATTGGTTTGTGTTGATCATTAATGCATCATTGGAGCAGGGGTTTTTTCCATCTCACCTGAAACAAGCTGTGGTTTGTCCACTCCTCAAAAAGGTTTCCCTTGACTCCACGGTGCTGAACAACTTCAGACCAATCTCCAACCTCCCTTTTCTGGGCAAGGTGCTGGAGCGGGTGGTCGCCTCCCAGCTCCAGGGCT